CTACTGGGAGCAGAGAAAATGAATAAGACTTTACTGTGAAACAAATACTAGAGCAAGAAAAGAAAGTAACTCAAAACTAGAGAAACTTTTACAACTAATATATGAACTCATGAGAGATTTCCATACAAATCCTGAAAAACACAACACTGTTCTATAATGTTTCTGGCTCAATTTGGAAGTCGTAGAGAATCAGAAAAAATCATGCAGTCCTAGCACCCAAGATGTGGGGACCTTTGTACTTTTCTTCACTAAAAGAAACTACTTCTAGTCCTGGGTGTTGGAGATTCCTAGAAAACTCTAGATTTCATGCCTTGGGAAGCAAGATGACCCTACAGATTACTAATATTTTCAGAAATGCTCTGAAAGTAGTACAAAGAATACTTGAGAAGAAGACTCCATTGGGAGGCATGGTTTAGCAATGACCAAAAGAATCAAACAAACAAACAAAAAAAAACAGAAAATAAGTCGGTCAGGAGATACTTAAGCCATTAAAGAACATTTGAGTTCACAGTTACACTGAAGAAGAAACTCAGTATAAGGGATGCAATAACAAGTATAAAAATCACCAATGCCACATACTATTAGTTGAGCTCAAAATCCAAATTAATAATCACATTTTTAAAAATCTGCATAAATACAGATCCATCTGAGCTCCTGAGTCGAACTGCCTTTATATTCTTCATTCTTCAAATAGTTGTGTTACACATGAGAGAGTGTTATTATATGTATAAGATACTTTGTTACAGAGTGTTTGGGCAAATAATGATTAATTAAATTTATGTATATACTATAGTGACAATCCTAAGTAATTAATCTAAACATAATCATGACTATAATTGAAATCAGAAAATTTATGAACATTAATTTCATAATTCATCAGTATAAAGAACGGCATTTCCCCCAAAGAATAGTGAGAAAATACATTCAGAAGTCCACTTCACCCTAATGCAAACACAACACTGACTTCCCATGTGATATTGAGTAATACTTACCTAGTAATGAGCTACTGCTTATGTGAATATAAATAAAAGTGATTTAACTGAAGATCCTACGCGCTCCTATCATTAACACTACCTTTTTGGGGGAGGAGGGGGCTTAAATCATACAGTCTCTTTAAATCCTTCCTGTTTTATCCCTGTGTCTATGACACCTCCGGTGAAATAACATGTGCAGCTGTACATTTGCCTCTTTCTGTTGTTTCTCCCACTCCCCTTGCTCACATTTTTAGGACTCCCAATAGTCTCGGAGTAGCCAGCAACAAGCACTGCGTACCTGCGATGCTCTCTCTGCCCCTTCAATAGCAAGCTTTTCTGTTTATTTATGAGCAAAGAAATAGCCTCCTGGTTCTTTTGAATCACAACTTGGAACTTTTATACATTGAACTTAGCAACAACTACTTTGAGAATTACTAAATTAAAGTAGGGGCCTTTGTGTTTTTTCGGTTGAGAGAGACTTTCAGTGTTTCTTTGGCTGAACCCTAACCCAAGAAGTAACCAGCTTGAAAGGACAGAGATTTCATCTTTTGCACATGGAAAGCTTAGTCACTGCCATCCATGAACATTCCTTTCACGTTTCATTGCAGACTTTTGTTTCACTTAGCGTACCCCTTCCATTTCCAAAACTGAGGGCTGCAGTTTTTTTCCTCAAAATCCTTAGAAGGAAACATCTCCACTGGCTCTTCCTCATGACAAGCCTAAGATAGGGCCAGTCTAACTTTTTAACACCAACCCCTACAATGACAAGCATTAGAGCCTAGTGCTCAAAATAAGAATGGTTGGGAATTTTCTCAGTCTTCTGAGGCTGCATTTATATTGTTTTTTGTTTGTTTGTTTGTTTCAAGAAAAATTTGAAAAGTTATGAAATGGGATCTGGTGTCTAAGGAGACAAAAACAGTTGCCTATTTATTTTTCTCAAATTCATCCAACAGACTTTCAAGTCTGTTTGTTCTTGGGGAGGTTGTCTTAGGGTCCTGAGTAGGAAATAGATGACTCTAGACAACATATTACCCAGTGTCTGTAATAAGAGAATTGAGAATGACTGTGCAGCGATGCGAACATCCAGTAAAGCATGACCCTGGCGCAGAGAAGATGGAGTCTAACCAAGATTTTGCTAGGAGAATCCACCCACTTAGAAATAGCAGATAATAAGCACCTGAGACATTGAGGAAATTGGTACACCTCTTTTTTAGAGATCAGGATAGGTATGGGTTTCTATCTGACAAATACATTCAGTAGGGTTCAAGAAAGCATGCCTTGGTGTACCTGATTTATGTCTTATCAGATGCCATCAGAACTAGACCTGCAGATCAGAAATATGAGGATTTCAGCAACAGAAACAGGTTATTTGTTACTCTCCTATAAATTACCTGGCTGGATGAATTGAAATAAATAATCATTACATGCAGACGCTTACAATGAACGTTTATTTGGTGGATGACAGAAGGGTAGTCAACAAGAATCAGTAATAATCCCCCCCCTTTCTCCATCACTTTGGTCCCAGGGTAGCATATAATCCTGACAGTCTTTCTTCTCCAGGCTTCACGGGACTGGCAATGCATGTGTTGGGAATGGCTCTTAGATTGCGGCTTGGCTGCAGCTGAGTCCTCCAAAGGCCTTGTTATGGGATGAACAGCTTGATCTCACTTTTCATTCAAATACACAGATTACAATACCTCAATTGCAATAACCCCAGCCTATGGCCTGGGCTTCTTTTACTAGTCCTTTGCTTTGCATCTGTTGTCAAGAATAGTGCCCTGATCCTTGTAGTTCCATTTCCCTAACATTGCTGCCTACGTGTGGATTACAGCTAGCTGTTTACTCATTTACCCCTAAGGCTCACTTATTAGAAGCAAGGCTTGCTTGTAAATTGGCTTAATTATTTTATCTGGCTTACCAAAGAAAAGTGTACTAATACAGCAAACTAAATAATGTTTTGTTTTGTTGTTTTTTTGTTTTTTGTCTTTTGTCTTTTTCCGTGTCCGGCAACGGATCGCAACCCTCAGTGTCGCCCCCGTACCGGACTGGGGACCGGCAATGGGATTGCAACCCTCGGCATTGCTCCCGCGCCTCGCTCAGCCAGTGAGCGGGAACCGGTCTGCATGTGGGATCCGAACCCTCAGGCGGGAGCGCCACCGCGCTTCCCAAGCGGTGCACTTATCCAGTGCGCCACCGGGCCGGCCCCAAACTAAATGATGTTTTTGGTTATCATCTTGTGAAGAGTACAAGGTTGTCTGTAAGTCATCTATGTCAAAGAATATCTTCTAGACAAAGCAAACAATATCTAAGTCTAAAATATATTCAGGTTGATTTACACATTACCTTTGCCAAGGCAAGATAATTACAACTACAATCTTTGGTAAAATATCGTTAGTGTCCAAAATAATATACGTACATTTTATTTTGAAAAATGCAAACTATTAAGTAAAATAAATGCTGTATTATCATTAAAACCATCATCAACATCATTATTATTACTGATACATGCAAGCACCACATAGTCCAGATGCACATGTAGGTTAGTTTTATATACATATGCGGGGAGAAATGTTAATAATTCTAACATCATTCCCAGCTCCAGGGCACAGCCCTAGAGTGGTGCCCTTACCTCTGACTCTGTCAAGATTAGCTTACAAGCACATATTTATCATTTAATTGCTGCTTTTTGTTTCTTTACTCTCGCACAATATAAAGACTATATCAAAGGTAAGCCCTTAAAAGAATCTTCATTGTTAAAGGATTCTACTATGTATACATGTGATGCATCTGTACAATGTTATAATCCATATCATCATATTCCAAGTTTTACAGTAAATTTTCCCGCCCTTAACCTATTTACTATTTATAGTTACCTTATCTAAATGTAGATTATCACAGTTAAAACAGCACTACATATACATATGCATGTACAAAATTTACAATAAACATGTGGCATTCTGTTATAAATTTGCTTTCTGTGCCTTCCTTACTGACATCGTTTCTATTTGTTTCTCTAAGAACTCCAGTGATCAGACTGCAACACAAAGCATGTCACATGCACACACACAAACATAATCATTCTTAAAGTATAATTGTTTTGCTTTTTGTAGTAGCAATATTGATATGATTCTGAATTATGTGATAATTCTTCTGTATATTTTTAGTTATACTACATAATATGGTAGAAACATTGATTTCTGCCTCTCCAAAAATACATATTGCACGTTCTTGAATTTAATAAAATTAGTAAGTGCCTAGAAAACATCAAAAATGTTTATGATTTGGGTTTCAAATTAAGATTAGCATTACAATTTTGTGTTTTCAGTTTCCACTTAAAGATAATTTATTTTACTTTGTGCTACAAATTTTCCCATTCTCACATAAGCACCTTATTCCCTTAATATCAGCAAGACCTCTAATAACAATGACACACTGCTTTTCTTTCTTTCTTTTTTTAAAAAAAAGTTAGGCCTTTAAGCTTTGAGGTTATGATTTTTCTACTATGACTAGTTTTTTAATTAGTTTTCTTAATGGACATTTTATAGATCTTCTATCTACTCAAATTTATCATTTATCTTGGGCTGGCTGATTAGCTTAGTAGGTTGGAGCACAATGTTGTAACACTAAGGTCAAGGGTTTGGATCCTCATCATGGCTAGCTACCTAGATAAATAAATAAATACTTATAACTTACCTTACTTTCTAATGAATTACATGCCTTTTTCCAGAGTTGCAATTACATATCTTTTGCATATAAAGTTACATTATTTAGATTCTCTTTGATGTACTATTTGAGACTTTAAAATATTGCTTGCCAATGCTCTAAACAAAAATGATTACTTTTAAAATTTGATTGGCTGACCATTTGTGAATTATCATCAAAAGCAGTCTGGTCAGGGAAAATTTCAGCAATACTTAAAAGAACCCAGTAGAAAAATAAAACAGTAGAAGTAATCTTCAAAGGCTCTTTATTAAGGTATTCTCTTAGAAAAGACTCCTGAAAGTCTATCTATAAAGCTAATGGATTTTATCTTTGCAGGTGGCTCTTAAGATGCCACAGTATCCTCAAGGCTGTTTGTCGCAGCCTCTTATTCCCCACAATCAGAATAAATGAGTGGCCCGAGGGAAAGAGATAAAATGTTAGCATAACAAACTTTATGTACTCATTGTTCGAAAATATAAAACATACCCACATTGCCACTTCTGTGCAAAGAAAATGAATGATGAAGAGGAAGAGGAAAGACATCACCATTTTCATTGCCCTCCTATGGGCCTCTGTGGTGGGGTCTCCGGCACCCACAGAGTTGAGCTGCAAATTTCTCGTGTGTCTCATCAAGGACAGAAATAAAAGGAGCAATGAGGTCAGGGACAGAGCAAGGGGGACAAAATAGTTCAAGCTGAGAAGAGTCAGGTTCTTAATATAGGAAATTTTATGTAAAGTCAGATTACTTTCATCTGTCTTATAGGTATTCAATGAGCGATTAGTAAATGGTTTCAGCAACAGAAAATCAAAAATCAGTGAGAAGGAAGAAAATACAAGAAGTGCAAGCACCACTCGGTTCATTCTCCACTTCAGCCAGAGGAAAACGGAGTGAGAAAAATGGGCTATCTTAAGGAAGTAAAAAATGCTTAGGCAGGTGGCAAGCCAAGTGGTCAAGTGATTAGTTATTCTCCAAAGCATAAAAGTAGATTTTGCTACTTCATAAATGGTAGATAGATGTGGAGATAGTTCCAGAATCCATGAAGAAGACATTGACACCAACAGATTACTGATTCTGGAGATTGCCAAGCAGGTGATAATGAAGTCAGCTAAGGAGACTTTTCGGTTCTTGACCCATTCAGAGCAGTTGACCAATCCAATGAACACATTCCCCGACAGTCCAATTATGAATCCTGCTATTGTCAGTATCAGAATAATCTTATCCAATCCAGTGGGCATCTCCATGGAGAAAAAAATCCAAATATTTAATACTTTGTCTCATTGATAAATTCCCAATCGAACTGTTGCAGAATAGCACTCATTTGTGATGCTTGTCTTCATGGCTTTTACGGCAGTTCCAGTCTTGGTCAAACCCTCCTGCTGTTGGACACGGTCTCACGCACTCTTAAGGAAGGCTTTCTCTCCACTTTCATTGTAATTCTGATCTTAGTCCAGAAAGATCTGCTAAGAAATACAGTCTTACATATCTTCATAAAATGTTTTTATTTCTATGAAAGAGCTGTTAAATTCTAATCCAAACAGTTTCTGTATCCATTTGTCAGTGGCACAGGTAAAATTTTCCACGTATGGTAATGATTCAAAGGTTAAAGTCAAATATGTTAACATGCAAATATGGGTCAGATTCCCTTTCACTATTTGTACTTTCCTCCTCATCTGAAATACTACACCATTTGGTTCTAAATATCTTTGTGGTGTTTTTCATAGAAAGATGTAGAAATAATCTAAATAATTTAGTTATTATTCATTGGATATATTTTGTGAGTGTCTGCTATGTGTCTGACCTTGTACAAATGCAATACATGTTATTAAAAAAGAGAGAAAGCATTAAGAAGCCCATAAAATAGTGAAAACAAACAAACAAAAAACAATGAGATGAAGCTAAGAATAACATGTAAAGTGAACACAGGAAAGGTAACTCACAAACACTGCTGTGGGAGGCGTGGAGGAGGGGAAGTGACATTTACCTTGTATCTTGAAGATACTTAGAATTTCATGAAGAAACTGCCAAGTCTTATTCTGGACTGATTGAACAATATTCAAAAAGACACTAAAACCCAAACTACTTTTCTGAAAGTAAAGTCCTCTAACTGATCATTTACTGTGATTACAGCCTAAATGATCCTCAAATATCTCAGAGTAACATGTTCAAAATTACACATATTCCCAGTTTTATCCTTTGCCTTTATTTATATATGTTCTATTTGTTTTGGACAAAGATTTAATGCTGTCAACTTAGCCTTAATTAACAGGTAAAAATCCTCTCAGATGAAATAAGGAAATAGAAAACAGAAGTACCTCTTCTGCATTCTAGGAATGATTATTTTGACAAAAGTCGTTAATGCATCAGAAATAAACTCAGAATTATAGATTTTGGTCTTGGTTTATATGTCAGCAAACAGATATTCTGTTATCAGTAATTAGAGTTCAAGTGTTGCCAGACAACATTATTATTCAAAAAATTATTTTTAAAACTTGGCTCTTTTCAATGTTGCTGTCTCACTCCTCAATTAAATTCTAGTAATTAATATTTAAAGGTTATATTTCAAGAATGATGTTGCATAATGAGCTATTGGTAAATTATTTTATGGATAAAATTATTTAATTTTGTACAGATATTTAAAACTTAGAGAAAGAAAGAGAAGAAAGGAAGGAGAAAAGACAAGAAAATTAAAGAAAAGAAAAAAGGAAAGAAAAGGAAATTTATTATATAGAGGAAGTCTGAATGAAAATAAATTTGGTAGTATTTTAGAAAGGAAAATGGCAGCTTTAGGCACATTAATGTCTAGAGCTGGAAAGAATTTTGTGGCTACGAGAAGCATTTAAGAGGAAGAATCAATAAGGCTGGATGATGAATTGGGGCTAGAAGAAGGAGGAGAAGTCAGTGATGACATCCGGGAGTCCCCAGGGTGCAGGGAGTACTGAGACCTGAGGGAATCACTGGAGGAAGAGCAGGTTTAGAAGCCAAAGGGCAAGAGAAAGAAGCAAAGTTGAAAGATGAGTATCTGTAAATCATCCAAATGGAAAGTTGGAGGAGGCACTTGGGTGTTTGTGACTGCACCTCAGAAAAGGAATTTGGACTGTAAGTAGAGATTTGGGAACATCAGTACATACTTGATTCCATAAAACGTTATGGGCTCCAAGGGCCCTGAGGGACACAGAGGATGAAGAACCCAGAGGAAAAACTAAAAAGCAGGCAGATGGAAGAGGGAAACCAAGAGACCAGGGTTTCAAAGCAGCTTAGAGCAAGGAGTTTTACAGGAGAGTAATCAATACTTTATGATATTAATGAAAGGTCAGTTACAAACTAGACTGGGTACCAAGGAGGTCCCTACCTAACTTAGCAAGGGCCTTCAACTGAATAGAAGGCAGACTGCAGTGGACTAAAGAATCAATGAAATCCCAATAATGAAGCATTAGAAAACTAATTAATGTAATTCAACACATTAACAAATTAAAGGAGACACATCATGAAAAAAATGTTTGATACAATTCTACATTCATTTACAATAAATACTCTTAGCAAACTGAGAATATAATGACATAAGCATTTTCCTGATGAAAAGTTGTCCAGAAAAACCTAGAGCAAACACTGTAGTTATCAATGACACATTGAAATCATTCCCTGGAGTTTGGGACCAAGTCAGAGATAATCATCTTACCATGTCTATTTTTTTTGGAGGTTGTCACCAATCACAGTAAAGCAAGAGAAAAAGAAAAGAAATAAATTATAAAATACAAACTGTCATTATTCACACATTAAAATTGAGATTACATAGAAAGTCCAAAAGTATTCTACAATAAATTGTTAGTATAGACCATTTAGCAAGGTTTCTGCATACATAATAAATCTGCAAAATTATTTTCCATTTCTTCATACCGTCAACAAAAGGTTAAAAGAAATACTCTTTTAAAGGAAAACATTACCATAGCTCAACAATTATAATTGTATCTAGACATTTATATGGAATAACAAAAGACCATTCATAGCCAAAGCAATCCTGAGCAAAACAAATAAAGCTGGAGGCATAACACTACCTGACTTTATATCACAAAGCTATAATAATCAAAACAGCATGGTACTGGCATAAAAACAGACACACGGATCAATGGAATAGAATAGAGAACCCAGAAAGCAACCCATACACCTACAACCATCTGATCTTTGACAAAGGCAGCAAGTCCACACACTAGGGAAGGGACTGCCTCTTCAACAAATGGTGCTGGGAAAACTGAATATTCATATGTAGGAGAATGAAACTAGACCCTACCTCTCACCATATACCAAAATCAACTCAAAATGGATTAAAGCATTAAATATACATCCTGAAACAATAAAACTCCTTAAAGAAAACAGAGGGGAAACACTCCAGGAAGTAGGAGTGGGTACAGACTTCATGAATAGGACCCCAAAAGCACAGGTGACTAAAGGTAAAATAAACAAATGGGATTATATCAAACTAAAAAGCTTCTGCACAGCAAAAGAAACAATCAACAGAGTGAAAAGACA